TAAGAAAATATGAAAATTTTGTTTTATTGCATAGCTACATCATGCACTGACATAGTATGAATATTAAAGAGGTTTAAGACCTTAGATGTTTCCATTTCTCTAGAAAATAGAGTTTTTATTGGGGTTAGTCTACTTAATATATGGTATATGAAGTTTAAATAAATTACTTAATAAAAAATTAGAAATGATGTCCATCTACAATAAAAATAATTTTACCATACATTAAATAAGTTTATGGTGCGATTAGTTAATTGTAAATAACACTAAAGAAATTAAATATTACAAATAGCATTTATCAGAAAATTCAGTATTTTCGTAGGGGTTAGCCCACATATTTCAAGAAAAATAAGAAAATATGAAAATTTTGTTTTATTGCATAGATACATCATGCACTGACGTAGTATGAATATTAAAGAGGTTTAAGACCTTAGATGTTTCCATTTCTTTAGAAAATAGAGATTTTATAGGGGTTATTCCACTTATTAGGTGTTATATGAAGTTTAAGTAAATTACTTAATAAAAAATTAGAAATGATACTCATCTACCATGAAAATAAGTTTACCATACATATAAAAAAGTTTTTTTGGGTGATTAGTTATTTGTAAATAACACTAAAGAGATTAAGTATTATAGATAGCATTTATCAGAAAATTCAGTATTTTCATAGGGGTTAGCCCACATATTACAAGAAAAATAAGAAAATATGAAAATTTTGTTTTATTGCATAGCTACATCATGCACTGACATAGTATGAATATTAAAGAGGTTTAAGACCTTAGAATTTTTCATTTCTCTAGAAAATAGAGTTTTTGTTGGGGTTAGTCTACTGAATAGATGGTATATGAAGTTTAAATAAATTACTTAATAAAAAATTAGAAATGATTTCCATCTACAATAAAAATAAGTTTACCATACATATAAATAAGTTTATGGTGCGATTAGTTAATTGTAAATAACACTAAAGAGATTAAATATTACAAATAGCATTTATCAGAAAATTCAGTATTTTCGTAGGGGTTAGCCCACATATTTCAAGAAAAAAAAAGAAAAAATGAAAATTTTGTTTTATTGCATAGCTACATCATGAACTGATATAGTATGAATATTAAAGAGGTTTAAGACCTTAGATGTTTCCATTTCTTTAGAAAATGTAGATTTTATAGGGGTTATACCACTTATTAGGTGTTATATGAAGTTTAAGTAAATTACTTAATAAAAAATTAGAAATGATGTCCATCTACCATGAAATTACGTTTACCATACATTTAAGTAAGTTTATGGTGTGGTTACGTATTTGTAAATAACACTAAAGAGATTAAATATTATAGATAGTATTTATCAGAGAATTCAGTATTTTCATAGGGGTTAGCCCACATATTACAAGAAAAATAAGAAAATATGAAAATTTTGTTTTATTGCATAGCTACATCATGCACTGACATAGTATGAATATTAAAGAGGTTTAAGACCTTAGATGTTTCCATTTCTCTAGAAAATAGAGTTTTTATTGGGGTTAGTCTACTTAATATATGGTATATGAAGT